GCTATTCTGATACACAGAAATTTCCCCCAAATTTTTGGAATTCATTGAGTGCATTCATTATTAGGTAACAGATGGATCATAAAGATGGGAGATAGTAGGTATAAATCCTTTGTTTGTGTAGACCAGTGGTAGATTTGGCTTGTTTGTAAAATATTCCGCTGCAAATATTAAGAAATGTAATTAATTTATGTATCTTTTTTAGGAGCAATGGATGAGCTTCATAGCCTGGACCCAAGAAGACAAGAATTGTTAGAGGCAAGATTTACAGGAGTAGTAAGTGGCAGCACCGGGAGTACTGGAAGTTGCAGTGTTGGAGCTAAAGTAAGTTCTAAAAGCAGTCATCCAGATCTACCATCTTTGAAATACTGATTTAACTCACAGTCTCACTTGTGTATTATCCATGTGATTTACTTGCAAAAGTACTGAGTTAGAAAAGGCTTTCCAGAAAATCCTTGTTAGTCTGTTATTTTGCTTTGAGATAGGATTGTTTATCCTGGACCTATCTATCACATGAACATTGAATTGTTCTTAAAAACAGCAAAGAATAGGCTTATACAGGCTCTTCTGTGGTTTTGTTCTAGTGCACGTGATCAGAGATGGAAGTTTTTCACAGTATTTAGTGGAATTGTCCCTTTTGCAGATGGCCAACTACTTACAGTTTGGTTTGAAGTAGACACAGGGAGTCTGGTGTGATGTCTGTTTTTAAGATTAAACTTGTTTGAAGACTAATATATCTAGATTAACAAAACCGAATTCTTTTGACTTTCCCAGACATTTGTATAAATTTTACCTACTTCTATTGTAGGCTTTCTGCAGTCTGTCTGTTATTATCTAAACCAGGATGCAGCACTTGAGGAAAAACCTTATGAAGAACGTTAAATAGAAGGGTTTAATTACCTTCCATATTCATATGTTACACATGTTGATACATCTGCAAAATAAATTTGCCTGTACTACAAATACTGTTTAAGTTACTAGCTTCAACTTCCAAGACTGATTTCTGCAATACTATTGCTTAGCCAGAGGTAGTCCTTTTTGCCTTTGTACATTTGAATGTTCTTCACCAAGTGTAGTACTTAATAGATGTTAAAAAGATATAACACTTATTTTTAAGGCACATTTCCTCCATGACCAAAGTACTTTTGAATTCTGTTTCCGTAGTGTTTGCAGTGTGCATTTTACACAAACTGGCTAGCATTTTTAGCTTTCTATTCTACGTTTTCATTACCGGTCTTGATTACAGAACAAAATACTACGTGATAGCAGATGTTGATGAAATTTCTGGAGATGTGTGATGTATTGCTGATTACTAACAAACTATAAAGAAGTGAAATCAGTGCATAGTGATCTTGCATCATACCTTCCTAATTTGTTTTTGAGAGCGATGCAAAGGTCACAAAGCTGTGTGGTGCGGTTGACACGCTGGAGGGAGTGGATGCCATCCAGAGGGACCTGGACAGGCTTGAGAGGTGGGCCCAGGCCAGCCTCCTGAAGTTTAACAAGGCCAAGTGTAAGGTCCTGCACCTGGACTGAGGCAATCTCAAGCACAGATACAGGCTGGGCAAAGAGTGGATTGAGAGCAATCCTGGGGAGAGGGATTTGGGCGTGTTGCAGCCCAGAAAGCCAACCATATCCTGGCATGCATCAAGAGATGTGTGACCAGCAGGTCGAGGGAAGTGATTCTGCCCTTGTGAGACCCCACCTGGAATATTGCATCCAGCTGTGGAGCCCCCCAACACAAGAAAGACATGGAACTGTTGGAGCGAGTCCAGAGGAGGGCTACCAAGATGGTCAGAGGGCTGGAACACCTCTCCTACAAATACAGGCTGAGAGAGTTGGGATTGTTCAGCGTGGAAAAGAGAAGGCTCCGGGGAGACCTTTAGAGGCCTTCCAGTACCTGAACGGGACCTGCAGGAAGGCTGAGAAGGGGCTTTTTACAAGGGCCTGTAGTGATAGAATGAGGGGTAATGGGTGGGAGCTTGAAGAGCGTAGGGTTAGACTAGCTACAAGGAAGACGTTCTTTACCCTGAGGGTGGTGAGACACTGGAACAGGTTGCCCAGGGAGGTTGTGGAAGCAGCTTACGATGTAAGGCCAGGCTGGATGGAGCATTAAGCACCCTGCTCTAGTGGGAGATGTCCCTGCCATGGCAGGGGGCTTGAGACTAGATGATCTTTGAGATCCCTTCCAACCTAAATCAGTCTATGATTCTGTGCCCCCTGTCTTCTGATTGATGCAGATCCTCACCTAAGACACTTCTCTTAACTTTGACAGAAAAGCTTCACATATGTTCTTCACACATGGCAGTATCTTTTCTTTTCCTGCTTACTTTTTGTTTGATTTTGGGAAGTAGGAAGGTAGAGGGGAATACTAATATCTAGTCCTGTGATTTATCCCACCATCAGTAAAATGGCAATTATATCAGTTTAGTTTGTATTTATTTTATTTCTGAGCATTTTATATGCAAGCAGATACAGTGTATCCAAGTGTAATAGTTGGACTATGTGGAATATGCTTTTCAATATATAAATAAAATACAGTCTTTGGTCTTGGGGGGGATGTTGAGGGAGGCTTATCTGTTTTTTATTAAGAAGCCTGTTAATACCTTTTTGATCTGGTATGCAGAGGTAACTGGGAAAATGTGATGTATGAATATGGTCTCTGTTGCTCTGTTTTCACTTCAAAGGTAGAAATAAGAAGGCTTCCGCTTTGCATACATACCCAAATCCACACATAGCAAACTCATTTTCCTAACCTAGTAAGATAATACAGAAGTTGCAGCTGCATTTGTAATTTTTGGAAACATTCTAGGTCATTATTCTTCTAGTAATTAAATTGAATGGACTCTTATTGGGGCTACTGTTTTGAAAGCCTGCCTTTATCTACTGTTTTGCTGAAGACTTTTGGAATTATTGGGAAGAAAAAAGCCCATCATCTTCACGCTTCTTCAGTAAGCAAGCAAGAGTGGTAATAGGTATATAATCTACTGAGGTTATTGTTCTGACTCTGACCAGAAACTACATATAGACATTTCTATCCTAGTGACTGCCTGGGAGGGGAACACACATGGAAATTTTGTGCATTTTAACATTTATTCAGAAATGTTATTTCAGAGATAATCCAGTTTTTCAGAAGATGTCACAGATCAGTATTGTCCTGCAGACCAGTGCAGTTCTAGGATTTAATGCTTTGAAGATAACTGAGTGTCTGCCTTGGAACTAGTTGTTCTTTTGCTTCAAAGTATTTATTCTGCCTTCCTATATGGGAAAGAATAATCAAGCAATATAATTTATTCTCTTTTTTTGATAAAAAGAAGCTCGATGTTGGCTTTTTTATGTGAAGATGGAATAGACTCTTTCAGTAAAATGTCTATGTTGCCATTCTGTGTTCAAAAGATCTTTGAACAAATCAACCTTAGAAAATATGTGAATAAATACTGTAATGAGACTATTTCACAGGGGTTTTTTTTGTTACTTTGGAGGAAATTGGGGTTTTTTTAAGAATGTAGAATAATATTGTCAATAGGTTGTAATTTTCTGTCATTGAATGGATTAAAAAAATAATCTCTACAATGGCCTAGGATCTGTCTTGGAGAAAATTAAACTGCATTTCCTTTGAAAAATTTAAATTTTTAGTAGTCTCCAGCACTTTCAGCAGTATTGGCTTTTTAAGACCATTCAGTGGTATCATTTGTTGTAGGGTTTTTCATTGGATATTTTCCTATTCCCAAGTAAGGCTGAAATGGTTTTGAATGTTCTAGGATTTTGCTTGGCTTGAAAGCAATTGAAATACAGAATTTACTGTGCTCTGTCACAACATCCACCTGTCAAACTTCTTACCCCTGCAAGTCACAAGTGCTCTCGAGATAATAATTTTTTCCTTGCAAGCACGAGATTTTACTACCATTGTTATAACTGTGAGTGTTTTATAAATCCATATATAATGTGTAGTATTTTATTTGTCTTGGTAGGCCTCAACGAATAACGAAAGTTCAAATCACAGTTTTGGAAGCTTGGGATCTTTAAGTGATAAAGAATCAGAGGTAAGTATATGGAACCAGATTCTTTATTACCTCAGAATCTTAATGCTAACAATTCATAATTTTATATTCTGCTTTAAAAGCTTCTGTATAAAATAAAGTAAAATGCAAAATACGCAGCTAGATAGGAAAAAGTATGCATTACTGCAAGATACAATCTCTTGGAGGAGGAGACATGACTTCATAGAAGTTTCTTTGGATTTTTGATTTTGAAGCTCACTGCTTCTGCTTCTTTGTTACCTACATAGTTGTAATGTGAGGATACAGAGAGCTTTTGGAGCTGAAAATGCTTAAACAGTTTGCTGTCTTTTGTTTAATTAGGCAATAAGACAAACTTTGACTAGACTTTGGCTGCATCTTTGAAAATACTCTAGAAACTAGTTCGCTATATTTTCTTGAAAAATCCAGATTTACTCCAAGGTCAGGCAGCAGCTATAATCTGCCTTTGTAAAAGCTGCAGTTGTGACTGTGTGTTTTCTTAGCTGGTACCGCTTCACAATCCAGAAAAGGGTTCATCCTTTTTCTTAGATTTTAATGTGAAAAGTGCAGATTTCCTGGAGCAGAAGATTTCCCATTTAGTGATACAGTTCTCCTAATCCAGCTCTTGAGATTTACCTGATTTGGGCTCGGTGGGTCCTGCCTATGTACATCAGAGTATGTGTCGTGCTGGAGGGAGAGTTGGTTTGGAGTGGGCTTCCAGTGTTATTCTCACATGGTAAAGCTTTATTTTGGTGCCTAATTATTCATTCACTCAGTCACTGTGAGACATTTTCTGATGTGTGCTTTTATACTGGGCTGACCAGCAACTGAATTTAGCTGGTTCCCAAGACTGATACCTTATAAATAAATGTTCTCTCTGTGTGATTTCACGTTCTCCTCTGAAAAAGGCTCTGCTGTGTTTATCTCCCTCTTGCCTTTCCCAGCTGAATTTTCATTTCCAATGTACATAGACTATTTTCTTAACCAGAAGAGTCTGTCTGCCTGTTGTTTTTCTTGATGGCTTTTCCTAGAAATACTTTGGGCAGTGATGCAGTTCTGTAGTAGGTGTGGGAATGGAAATGTGCTGCAGTGGCCTGCACGTTATGATGCATTATTGCAATTCCTTGGCAGAAAATCCTATCTGTGGTGTAGCTGAGTGATCTCAGAATAGTTTTATATGTGAGATGCAGAGGCAGGGTTTTTCCAAAGCGTGTAAGTTTGAAAGTTCAACTCATATCTTCAGTCTCTGCACAGTGTTTTAACTTCAAGCCATGCTTCTGGGTAGGGATAATTTATTTTATTTTTTAAAAAAAAAATTCTAAAACTTGCGTTTTAATAGAAATAGTCTTTTCCTCTAAAATATCCCTGCACATATCTCCAGTGCACAGTGCTTCAGGTTTCTTCTATGTTTTCTGAAAGATGAGTCTTGATGACATTAAATAATGAAATATGATTTCTTGACCCATTTTTAGAAGTTATTAAATTAAATTGTAATTGTAATATGAAATATGATAATAAGCTTTTAGAATTTTGTTCTTAAAATAGCATCTGATTACTTATATGCTGGAATCCTGTGAGAAGTACACTTTAATTCCGAATATGGCAAACAGGTTGTGAGATTTTGTGTTTGTTTTTTTCTTTTAATGGTGTGACAGTGGAGATTCATAGTAATAGGGAATTCCTCTTGTGGATGATAGTGTGGAAATAAAAAGACGTGGTAAGTGGTGCCATCATTTGATGCTGAGAGAGATCTGTTGTAATAAAATTGATTTGGGGAGGAGAAAGAAGTAAAAATGCAAATCTAGGGATTGTTGAAACTAATTTCTAGCAAGAATGCCAGTTTCTGATCAAATTGTGTTAATACGTTCATGTCATCATTCTGTGCTTTCATCACTAAGTGGCACATTAGAAGAAAGTCACACTTAGTTTTCAAAACAAGGCAAGCTTCCCGTACACAGACACATTTTTGTTTTACTGGTGTGAATTTTTTTCTTCCTTTTGCACATGGGGTTGCAGAAGATAACCAATAGAACTATGGTGTTTTCTTTTTGTTTTTCCCCCCTGCCTCATGGATGTATGAAGAGGGGCAACTTAACTTGAAAAACAGTTTTAATTGAGATATTTCACAGAGGTAAACTTGTTCTGCAAAATAACTTGAAACTAGGCTTTCTTCTGAATTCAGATCAGCATTGTGAGTGGTAAACATCAGCTGGATGTTTAATCTTAATATCCCAATCTGTACTCCAGTTTCTTCTTAAATTTATATGTTATTTCTATTAAATGCTTTATTGCTGTGAGACGCAGGTCTTAATTGGAATGTGTATTAGCTGCTTTTGGTTAAGGTAGATCCTAAATTGGCTACTTCAGGTTGTGAACAAATGCTTCTTAAAATATTTTGGCATTCCCTACCATTCCTCATGTAGATTACTCCTTGTTTTGCTTACTGGTACATTCCTTTATTTATCACTAGATTTTTCTATTCTCTGTAGATAATGAATTATTTAAAGGAGGACAGCTTTGTCTGTGGCTTGATTTGTCCAGTTTGATTAGTTATTTAAATGTTTTGCTCTACTTGCTTGTAGCTGTTTAGTTGCTTCAGTTCATAATAATGCAGAACCCTCATTATAAATGTAATTTCAGAAGTAACTAAAAGTTTGATCTAATTGGATTTTATAATGTGTTGCAGAGGAAAACAGCACTGCTGTATTTGTTGTGAAGCTTTGGGGGGAGAGTAGAATTTAAAATAAGAAAATTCTGGAAAAATAGCAACTCATTCATTATGCATATGAGAAATATTAACAACTGAAAAGTCATAAGTATTATACTGGAGTTTTAAGTGTTGAGAGACAAAAAAACCCCCCACACTTCTATTTATTACACATGATTTTAATATCTTTTTTTCTATAAATATAGCTTCTGAGTTTTGCTGTTATCAGTTCTGCAGTAATGATAGAAAATATTTAACTGTACATAAAATACGTAAAAATACTTATCTGAGTTGTTTGGAGGTTACTATTATTTTAACTACTTGAGAGTTCCTACTTAGAAATGCTTATTTTATAAAAGAGAATGTGAAAAGCCAAGATGTAGAACTGTGAATCTAAAGAGAAGACTCAGGGGAAGCACATGAAATTGAGGGGTGAAGTAGGCTCACGACCGTGATGTCTGAGGCTCTGCTGGTAATGCCCAGCTGTGGGTAGCGCTGCCACGGTTTTCAGTTGAACTGTGGCTGACTGCAAAACTGTCCCGTCTCGTTCAGGAAATAGTGGAGTGGCAGTCTACATGTTGGCTCTGCGTAAATCCTTCCGAAGTGACTGAAAACAAATTCAGTCTTTGTTTATCAGGACGATAATCCTCAACATCATTAGTCTTCAGTTTCTTGTAATTCGCATGATACCATTCATTAGAAAGGATTTTGGAGAACATTTTCTAGTGATTGATGTACACTGCGCATTACCATGTGAATTTTGTACTTGGAAAAGGTGAACATGACCTTATTGGGTAACCTCATTAATAACCTCATTAGCGTGCTAATACTTTTTAGTTTTGAAGGTTAAATTAAACACTGAAATAAATCAGAAGAGCTTAAGGAAATAGACATTTGTGAACTATATTTGAGTTTCAGTTTTAAAACTATAAACCTCTTTAAATGTCTGGTTTTAAATACAAGATATCAGTCGCTACAGCTGGAAACTAATTTCGATGGGGGAAATCTTAAATGTTTAGTCATTAATTAGCTTTTAAACAAGTTTTCTGCTTGATATGGTAGATAAAACTGAGTACGTTAGAATGCTAACTGCAAAATTGAAAGCTGGAAAATAAGAATAACATGAAGATGCTTGGTTAAGTAGTTTCAATTTAGTGTTGTGGAAAGATAGCTAAATGTTACCTATTTGCCTAGAAGTGATTGCAAATTATTAAAGCAATATTTCTAAGCTATGCTTTCTGCTTTTAAACTCATACAGTCTTAAGATAACTCCATTTACAGGAGTCTGTGCTTGCTAATATATGTAATTTGAACTTCATTTGTATCCTGATAATACAATAGTTACAGTAGTAAAACTTCCAAAGATGGTTGTATGAAGCTATCGACAGAGCTAAAACTTCTAAAAAATACATGCCTAAGGAGAGCCTTTCCTGTCCTGACTATTCTTTTATAGACTGATATTTTTCTATGCATCACAGGTAACTTAAAGTGATTCTTTGTCAAAATAGATATTTTAGAATATTAGTAGTAAATTTATATTTGAAGATGTCCAGGTGAAGATTTTGGAACCAGAGCATACTTTAAATCCTTTTAGTGAGGAGCTGAAGTTTGAATTTTGATATAATTTCCTTAGCGCACAAACTGACAAATACGATGAAATGATAAAATGATGGTATCATTAAAAAATGAAGCATGATGTGATCTCAACTTTAGTGCAAGATGTTAGGGACCGTTGATTTCTTGAGTTTAAAACAAAGTTGGTGTAATGGCTTCTGTGCTTTCTCCAGTAGCTGGAATGAGGCTGCTTGGAGGCAGAATATGCACACAGCTGCACCAGCTTTTCCCTGAACCAAAGCAGCCTCCGGAGTTTAAGCTTACGCTGGGGAGACTAACTGGCTTGAATCCTCAGATCAAGGGAGAGCAAATATAATTTAGAGATGCTTCTGATCACAGCCTTTTTTCTTGTTATCTGTGTTGTACATGCTGATTGTGGTTTCTAGGCAACTATATACAATGTTTCTGGAATGCATTTTTAACAGATCTGTATTTTTTGACTTATCGATATTTTTTGTTGACTTTCTTGAGAGCCAAACACAATGGGGAGGAGATGAAGACACTTTCCAAGTGGATAGTTATTAAAATTTTGAGCAATTGCTCTCTGTTTTTCTTTCTTAAATCTGAAGCAGATTCTAGAAATTTACAGTTTGTATTAGTTTAGAGATGACTTCCTCATTTCCAAAAATGCGTAACATTATTGGCTTCCTATTGAAGGACTATGGCTTCATGTTTATACTGTGGCAATGTTTACAGAACACCGTCAGGAATCAGCTTATTTCACTAAATATTAAGCTTTAAAACACCCACAACTACAATACAAAGATCTCTGTAAAATGTAGCCATAAGTGAAACCAAATCAGGTGTTTGTAAGCTCCAGAATGGATGAAAAGGTTAAGTGCTAAACAATTAATATGTAGAATTGCCTTTTGGGAAATTGTTTAAGAATTATAACTAGCTTTCTTAAATATATTTTCTAGCTTATATTTATCTGGGTGGCTAAGGATCATATAATCTACTTTAACTACGATCTGAAATTATATCCCTGCTGAATTGTGAAATTATGTTTTGTGAATGGAGATTTCAATTTATTTCACAATAATATAGCAGTAATATAAATAAATAGAGATGCTGCTGGATGAAATTCTTTTTGTTGTTTGTAGACTCCAGAGAAAAAACAGTCAGAACCTTCCAGAGGAAGAAAAAGAAAAGCAGACACTCAGAGTGAGAGCAGCCAAGGTAAACTAAAATGTAACTGAATCAGATAGCTATTGAATGTATTTAATGAAATTATAATGCATGAAGTTTTGACTCTTAGCCTTAAAAATTCTGTGTATTTCCTTGCATAAGACAGGTGTTGGGTTTTGGAAGATAAATTAAATACGTACTGGAAAGGCTGGGCAAACAAAACCTGAACTGGGCTGATAATTTCCCGTAAGAATTGTGTGCTAATCTATAAGTTGCAGTTATAATACAACTCTGTATGCTTTTTAAGAGTTGTAGCAGTTCTTCGCTTCTGAAATACCTTTGTGGTTTGTGTTTCTTTTCAGTAGGTAAGGGAGAAAAGGGATTACGGATTATAATATCTGATTGCTTGGTTTTCAGGTGTATCTAAAATTGAATTCTATTCTTCCTTTTCTATGGATTATTGCACAGTGTAGTGGTCTAGAGGATGGGAAATATTTTTATATTTACAAAGCATAGTTTTTGTTATTCCTCTCTTTAGCATGACTTTTCGAGGAGGAATGGTGGGAATTTAACCTCAAGGCAAAAATTAATCTAAAGGGGAGTGGAAAGTTTTGATAAGATCTTTATTAGCTAGGAAATGTCACTTCAGATACATATCAATGGGGTCTAGATCTGGACATCCTCATGCTGCAACATGCTATTTATTGAAGAATTATGTAGTTTCACTAAAATTATTTTATTTTTAAGTGTTACATCATAGAGACCTGCTTTATTCAGAGATCTTAAATGAAATTTCCTATTTCTGTTCTTCTAATAGCCTGTCCTTCCCTCTGCCAATGAAAGTTGAAATTAGAGATGACAGGAATTTTTGGAACTTTTTGGCATAGACACTATGTTCATAATGTCTTACTATTTTACTGTCAGCAGCAGTGCAACTGAATAGTCCACTGCAATATTCTCAAGGAACTGGGCTAGGAAACTGCATCTTGGAGTGGTACAGTGTATCTGAAGCACAGCAGATACTGCTGTTGTATTGACAAAAAGGAATGAGATCCATCTGTTGTCTGTTGTATTCCTAAAATTTTGACTTTGCAACATGCAAAATAATCCATAAATGTTGAAGAAAAGCATTGTTTAGAATGTGAAGATAATTGGAAAGTGGGATAAAATCAGCGTAAATCTGTTTATAATTGGCTGCGCCAAAATAATTTGATTAATTTCTTCAGTGCAGAGTTCTGTAACATGACACAGAATAGATTTTTCTATACTGCAAAGGAATGCAGTCTCATTTATCGGCATGAAAGCAAAATTTAAATTGATAAAGTGATACATGATAATTTAGCATGAAGACATCACTAGCAGAATTATAGGGTAGGTAAAGAACTGGCTGGAGGGCAGTAGCAGTGATATGTGTGCTAACTGGGTAACTGCTGGTGGAGTTAGCTGTGTGCTCTTCTAGGTCCTTGAATTATCTAAATATTGCTGTTACAAAGTCTTAACACAAGAAGGATTGCCAAATGATTGTTTTGCTTTTTGGTATATCTTAGTGACACAAAATTACACAGCAGTGCAAGTATAGGACTGAAAAGAATTCTTCAGGGCTGAAGCAATATAAAAGCTTGAAAATCTTGCCTAAAAAGTACGAAATTACATTTTTGGACCTAATTTGATCTCCTAATTTATCAAAAAAATTTCTTGCTATAAAGAAAAAGCTATGAACAATGATCTGTTTTCAAGATGTCTCCTAAACAGGTAGATTTATCAGTCATTTTAGGGACAAATAAAGCATTTATGCCATTCACTAAGGCACTGGTCCAACCTCTGGAATGCCATGTATGGGTCAGGTCCTCACGTTGAAGAAAGTTTAAATCACATTGGTGCTTCTCAACTCTCAATACTGATTAAGATAAAAGAAATTCTACTCTGTCATTCTGCTCTGTAGTTAAGCCTGTGAGTTAGCCAGTTCGTAATGAAGTTGGGAGGATTGGAAATACTTGTCATCCTCCGTGCCCACACTGTTACGGGCACTTAAGGAAATCTTCAGGCTGAACATCTGGGCACAATAGCTCATCTGGAGCTAATAGCCTTGGTTAATTTGGTATTTCGGAAGTGGGTGAACTTTGACAGTGCTTGGAAAGGGAGGAAAAACTTGGAGCTAAAGGTTGGATCTGTAGGATGAGAGATGTTTCCTGTTATCTATGAGATGTCTTGGGTTACAGTTAACTTTGCACTAATGTGGTTTAGGAGTTGAGGTATGACTTAATTTCTGATTTCTCAATGAATGGAATATGCAAATCTCTTTGTGGCCAATCCCTTAATTATCTGCATAGGGAGACCACATATTAGCACATCAAAGAAAACAGATTAACAAGTGGTAAGATTTTACTATAATGACTGTGTAGGTAATTTATTTCGTCAGTTCTAATGTATTAATGTATTTGTTTCAGGAAAGAATATTGGGGGACGTGGTCACAAGATAAGTGACTATTTTGAGGTAAGTTTTTTGTGTGTGTTTGTTTTTTGTGTGTTTGTAAAATTTACTTTAGCTTTAAAATTTACTTTTAGGTTTCTTCGGATGTTACAAAATTTTTTTTTGTAATGGACAGGCCTCTTGAGAGGATACTTTTTTTTTTTCTTTATGTAGGTTTATGAGTACTAAACCTCAAAGTAGAGATGCAGTTGTCTCTTGGTGCAGCCTGAGCCAAAATGCAAACCCCATTTTCTTTCACACTTTTTAAATGGCTAACAGCTACACTAACAGACTAATAGAAGTAATACAGTCTGATTCACAAATTCTGTGTACAACATGAGCTGTATAAATCAGTAGATGTATAATGTATTTTGATGAGAAGATTGACTAATTGGAGGGCCATGTCTTATCTACAGTACCAAGGTGGAAACGGCTCTAGTCCAGTGCGAGGCGTGCCTCCTGCGATCCGATCTCCTCAGAATTCACATTCCGCTCCTTCTTCTGTAAGTTTGTGAATATCATAACTGCTGGAGATACTTTTGTAGTCTGGAAGTAGCATAACTGAAAAGAATTTATATTCAAGGGAAAATTCTTCAAAGGAAGGAATTCTGGGAAGGATTTTATTCTTTCAGTGAGAGGAGAGGGGGATGTAGTTAATATTAAAAATAAAAATGTCTGTTAACCCTGGGACTTTCTAAAACATCATTTTAAAATGCAAAGTAATGGTGTAAAATGTTGAATAAATGTTAGAATATCCTGACGATATCTATTCACAAGCCTCACAGAGAAACAGGGAGGATTTTTGCTACTTATGAGAAAACTGAACCCCAATCTCAGCACTTAAAACAGTTTAATTTTTGATAAGTCCTAAGTTTTTAGATAACTGACACTTAATTTGACTGTTTCCTTTTAAAATTCTCTTCGCTGGTCACACTAATTTTATTTCCCTTCTCATATGCACAGTTTCAGTGGCACGCATATACACAAGTGGGTCCAAATGGCCAAACAGATTCTGCCAGTTACAGAAAGGATTTGTTTTCTCTGCTGGTAGACCTCAGCCTTTATTCCCCGTACTTTCAATTTCAGGCATCATCTTATTCTTGCTTAACTGTAATACAGATAATAATACAGATTGTGGAATTTGAATTGGAAATGGTCTCATTCACTCAAACCTTGTGGGTTTTGGGAAGTTTTGTTAACAGGGTTTGTGTTCTGATCTGCACTAGATTCTCCTTTATGGTTCTCCGGTGGGAAATAACCACTCCAAAAGTAACTTGTGTTACGTTTTTTTTTTTTTTGAATTGTGAAAGCCTAGAATTGGAAAAAGAAGCCTGTGTAAGACAGATACCACTTTACGTCAGTTTTGTATTTTCTTAAATCTTTCAGTCTGTTTCCCCAAAGTGACAATCTTAATTTTCTCAGAGAATATATTACATCCTTTCTAAACTGCAAGAGGTATGTAATAGCATAGTGATAGCTCTCAATGCAGTGCTCCAAGGAGTATCTTCTGTAATAAAGATACTTTCTTTCTCTATTCTATATGATTTTTCTGCCAAGAGTTGTATATAGGCTGTGTTCGTAGTTGAATATGCCATTGTATCTAAAATCCTTTGTTTTCATGCATTCTAGGTCCGACAGAATAGTCCTTCTCCTACTTCATTAGCTTTTGGGGACCACCCTATCACGCAACCAAAGCAGTTATCTTTTAAAATTATTCAGGTAACTACTTTTGAGATATCCTATATCATATCAGACTAACAAAAATGTGATAGATATGTTTGTTTCTTTGTCTTTCAACTTCTAGACACTTAAAAGCTTTCAAAAGCTTTGCTTTTTTACAATCTGCCGAAGTTCTTTTTTGTATTCTACACTTGCTCTGCTTCCAGTGTTATGCTTCATGAGTAGTTAGATGACCATGTTGTTGGGAGGGTTTTGCTCAAGATTTTAGCGGTTGTGTGATGTTAGAAATAGAGGCTGCTTTTCCAGGCAATATTTGAAGTGACAGCTGCTGCTGTCGTATTGCATTTAAAATATGATAGTGAAGAAGAAGAATGAGATGGTAATCAAAAAGATCAAGATACGATTTTGTCATAACTTTTAAAAGCCAAAAGCAACTGCTTTATCCTCTCCGCTGTTTCTGACGTGATCTATCACAAGTTAGAAAACACTACTTTGCCTGTTGACCCAATGCACAGAATTTAAAGTAGTTAGTTGACATTTACATTCTTGCCCTGGTTTGTCTGCTTTTTCTGTGAACAATACCTTTTCAATTAGTGATAAAATCTTTTAACACTTAGTGGTTTGTTCCAGCTATTTACAGTCATCCTTATGAAGAGGGAAAGCAGTTTTAAATAAGAACCTTCCATGACACTTCTAAGATGCGTAAAGATAAGATGTGCCAGTTTTGCATGTTTTAAAGTAGTTTATTTCTTTGTGTAACTAACACAATAAAAATAATGCAGTAAATGCTAAAGCAAAGGATAAATATTTCAAAATGTTCTTTTTAGACTGATCTCACAATGCTGAAATTAGCTGCGCTAGAAAGTAATAAAAATCAAGACTTGGAAAAGAAAGAAGGTCGTATAGATGACTTACTCAGGGTAAGTGTTAGACTTGGAATAGAGATGTTTATTCAGAACAACAGACAATTAATCTGAGGCAAATATTTTAAATATTTGACTAATATTTTTTATAAAAATTATTCTGGAGTTATCTAAATTAAACGGTGAAATGAGCTTTTAATTTTTGTATTGTTTTCTTCTGAAAATCTGAGAATTCTATAAAACAAAATGTATAAGGTGCTGTGTTTTTTTTCTGCTTCTGTGCTACAGCTTGTTAATAATTAAATACGTTTCTAGACTTTCTGAAAGTACAAAGAAAGCTGATGCTGTTTCGCAGGCACTTAATTCCGTAACTTCATAATATAATTTCGTGTAACAGGTGGTTTTTTTATTTTTCTGATTGTGAATAGTAGTTATCAGTGAGGCAACTGTTGGCAGTTTCAGAATGGAGGTGAATGTGACAGTAATTATTACTGGCTATAAATAACTACTTTTAATAAGAAACGTATGCTATACTGTGCTCCAAGACCCGTTTTCAGAAGACAATTCTTAATACTTGTGCTCTTGAAAGAAGTGTTGGAGAGGTGATATATAGAAATATGAGAGAATAAAATATATTCATAACGCGTAATCTATTTAGTATTTGTATGTGGACTGTTTTAGCATGTGTTCGACAGTATGGATAAGCAAACCTAACCTATTTAAAAAAATGTTTCAAAGAGATTATTGCTGTGTCTTTTTCTGGGTTGGTAAGGTAAATATAGTTGGAATGTAGGGAACTTGTTAAAATTCATACTCAGGTAATTGAAACTTCTATCATAGTGAATTTTTTGTTTCCTTTGACATTAAAAATGTTAGATCTTCACATGACTTCAGCAATCGGATGTAAAGGACCCAGAGCTAAAATTAGCTTCCAGTTTAGCACTGGAGGACTGGAAGAGTGACCAGTCCAATTTTTTTAATATATTATTTATATGTACAATGCTCTGTAATGCAGAATGCAGTTCAATATAAAGGAAATAAAAAAGGAAGCAAGGCATCCTTCTGCAGATGAGTTTAGATCTGTGAAATGAGATTTTTGCCTATATGTGTGCTTTATGCATTTTCCTTACTTTAGTCACATGAACATAGATAGTTTTATTTTCTGGGACAGCTGATTAAAAATAGTGCTTAGATGTATCTTTTCATATCCTGTGTATATTTGTTAGGCTAACTGTGATCTTAGAAGACAAATAGATGAACAACAAAAGCTACTTGAAAAATACAAAGAAAGGTTAAACAAATGTATTTCAATGAGTAAGAAGCTTCTAATTGAAAAGGTAAGTTTACCATTTTAAAAATCTTTGTGATTAAAAACTGTGAGGGTGCTATAGAACTCTATTATGATTTCATTTTCACTTTGAACTTTTTCACATTAGTCTCAGAGACTGAAACTTCATGTGCATGGTCTTTATCTGGCAGTGAGTGTTTTTATAAGCCTGAATAGGAAAAATAAAATGTGGAGCCTTTTTCAGATCATGGAACATGTACCTTTTAATTTAAGAGGGTGTTCATATAATGAATAATTAAGATATAACGAAGCATAAAAGATAAGAATTTAGTATGTGGCAGATTTTCTGGACAAACTTTAAAATTGTAGTGAAGTGGATGAAAAAAAATTCTGAACATAATCTGTTGCAGGGGGAGAGATAAAAAACCTCTTTGTGAGACACTTAAGTGACTGAGAATTTTTGATGTAAAATGATAAAAAGCTATGGTAACTCAGAGTTAATAGAAACAAGGAAATGTAAGTTGACCATTCACCTTTGTACTACTATGAAAGAAATATTTATTTCAAATTTAATGCCAATTATATTTAAACTTGCAGCCATTTCTTAAAAGGCAAGATACCTTGTTTCTCTTCCTCTTCTTTAAAGTAGCCTTACTTCTTAAAAAAAAATGAATAGAAAATCAGCTTACTACATATCAGGAGGGCACAAACTGCTCCGTTAGAGGATTAGGGAGAGTTTCCTCACTAGCATGCTTTAAATAAACTAGTGCAGTCCTCTTAAATTCCAGCATAAGGGGAATGCAGGGAAATGTTCTGTTCAGCATGAGGCTAGGTGGACATCTTCAGACTGAGAGTATCGCAGAGGCCATTTTTTGTGCGAGGCCATGCGGGCCGCCTTGTCAGTCTAGAAGTCTTTTTGCACAAATGTCAGCTTCTCACAGGTTGTTGTGTGTGGTTTTGGGGCACATGAATTTCTTAAAGAAGCAAGCATTTGTACCGAGGAAGTATCTGTCCATCAGTGGGGTTCACAGTGTTCGTTCTTCTTGGGCTGAAGCAGCCTGGGCAGTCACTCCGAGTTACTCCGAGTGACTGGCTGGTTGCAGTTAAGGCTACCTGCAGCGTGTTCCCATTTCAGGATTCCTGAGCTCCCTCAATTTGGTACAAGTAGTAACATAGATGCTCTGTCAGGGGAGTTTCCTGGGCAAGTACAGCAGATGCACTCTTTCTGAGAGATAAGCAGGCTCGTTTAGTATAATAGATGTGTACAGCCATGATCTTAATTATATGCCTGTATGATGGTGATAACTTTATCAGTTTTGCTGTATTTACAAATAAGATGTTTTGTTAATTCTGAAGAACAGCAAACTTTATAGGAAAGCTGATTCAAACTCGGATATTTCTTTGATGTAGAAATTGTCATTAGTACCAAACCAGATGTTTGCGTTCTGCAGAAATTAGAATAAATGAAGTAAAGAAATAAAATGTATTTTCATTTACTCTCTTTTTATCCTTCCCTTAGAAAGTTGTTGTTGGAGGAAAAACCTCTGAGTGTTGTATTAACTTCTTGAATACTTTAATATTGCTAAATACTAATTTTTTTTGTTTTCCTAGAGCACACAAGAAAAGCTGGCAAGTAGAGAGAAGAGCATGCAAGACAGATTACGCCTGGGGCATTTTACAACAGTTCGTCATGGTGCTTCATTTACGGAACAGTGGACAGATGGCTTTGCATTTCAAAATCTTGTGAAGTTAGTCAATGCTATGTTCTTAAAATTCTCACTAATTGTTAGTTCCCTCTAGTGGAATTTTTTATCACTGAGGTTCTCGGGTTGGAGCGGCTTTTCATACATTTTATCTTGCTTTGCCTATTGAAGACTGAGAGTACGATACAGAACTTCCTTAATCAGCTGAGAGAATACGAAGGCTGGCTGTCTTTGAAAGACAGTTTGGTTTCACTTGATTTTAACTATCCTTAGAAAAGCATGAATGAACTAAATGAGCAGCACATAATTATTCAGCTCAGCTGGCAGAAAGAGCTGTAAAACTAAATCAGCAGCTAACCGTGTACCGTTGGTGATCAGTGAGGGAGATGAGGTCTGTGAAGTTGTCATTGGTCACACAGGTGCTGCCTCCACATCCATCACTGCAGCAGTTTTTTCAGGCATCCGGCTCCTCAGTGCTCTGAAGCAGGAGTAACGGATTTGGCAGCCTCAGATAGGGTCTAGTGCAAGTGGATGGGGAAGAGCAGCCATCTGGAAAAGAGCTGCTGCAACAGGTATTTTAGCAGAGATGGGGCCAAGATAAAGGGCTCTGGGAGACCATCAGAGGTGGTGTTAAAATAATTATGCTGTGCCTCAAAAGCTGTTCTTTGGTAATGAGTCTGGTTCAATATTTGGAGATATATATATACACACATACACATAGATATATTAAAAAGTAAACCACCAAGATTTTAGTTTTTGAAGGGCAGTCTATAGGTCTTAACATTATGTGATTGCCTAGGGCATTGGGATTTTTTAAGAAAATCTTAAAAACAATCTGTATATGTATTTCGCATAAAAGCTGTAATTATTTACTCTAGAAACCAACTGATGGTTTGTTTGGGAATGGTCAGATCAAATTCAGTATTTGGCATATAAAAAAGTACTCCATTGACTCTTACGTTTCTTTTGGAGCTATAAAGGAAGCTATCCACCAGTTCAGATACTTTTTTTTTTTTTTTTTCCCTCCTCTTTAACAGAGAAATCATGTGTAACACTTTCAAAAATGAAACAACCCCAAAATCAAAAAACGCCACATATTTCAAAAGTAAATTATGCTAAAACATTAGCAAAATTTTTCTACCTCGTGAAGGACATTGATGTTCTTTATCCTAGGAAGTGTTTTCACATGTACAGAAAGTTTTCTAAAAATTTCTTAATGCCTTAACAGTTAGAAACATAGTTCTTAAAAAAAATCAAAATTATGAAACTTTATTAAAGCTTTATTTTTTTTTTGATTTACAGGCAGCAAGAATGGGTGAATCAACAAAGGGAAGACATTGAAAGGCAAAGAAAGCTCCTGGCCAAGCGAAAGCCTCCAACTACAAATAATTCTCAGGCACCATCTGCCAATTCTGAACCCAAGCAGAGGAAAAATAAAGCTGTGAATGGGGCAGAAAACGATCCCTTTGTTAGACCAAATTTACCGCAGCTGTAAGTTTAACATTTCAATCAGTCTTTTACATAAATTCTCAGATATTGTCTGTGTGAGTTCTATTCAAATAACAGCATAAAAAGACACTCAGTATATTCAGCAGCTATATTCTCACTGACGACTTGCTGATGTTAGAGAAATTTGCACCACTGCCTATGAAGATGTTGTACAGTTGCCCAATTTATTTTTGGTAAAGTCACCAGAGAAAGGCCCATTCGGTGTTTATGCAGTGTTCCTTCGGTTTTCCTGAGGAGTCCTTACTCTGGTTTCCTGCTCTTGTAATGTCACCGATACCTCGTGAACTTGTTTTGATCCACATTGGTTTAGGAGCCTCTCCTTTAGTTAGAGGTCATTTGACTTTTCCTGTAACAATCTTTAGCTGACAATAAGAACTTTTCTTCAGCTTTAGTATTGGAAGACATGTCTAAAACCAGATTTTTTTCCTGCCCTTTGAATGCTAGATGTTAGAGAGCAATTGTCAGGAGTTAGTGATCCCATTTCACATATTGACAGTGTTGGTTTGTGGGGTTTTTTTTGTCATTTGAACATAAAAATTGAGAGCTGTCAAAAAATTCTCCATTTTTCAAGTGGCTTTGTTTCCTGTGGACTGAAATGGTATAATTCAAGGCACAAACAGATGCATTCTTGACATCTGAGTATTTTATGAGGTTGCTGCTTGGTGGTACTAGTTACTGCTCTTGATGCTAAGAGGCTAGAGCTGGTCGTGTTCCTAGTCAACTTAAATAAAAAGTAAACAGCTAGGGTTAAAAGACTAACAAATTAATCTATCTTTGCAGAACTAGACTCTGTGGTGAACATGGTCACCTATCACCTCTCACTTGTGGAGGTAGTAATTTATACCTCTGGGGTGGGGGCTAAATAAATTACTCTGGTTAGATCTGCAAAATACGTATGTTTGGACCATCAATTTGAAGACAGCTGCATGTATTTTGCATAATTCTTCAAGTTAACATTGTGAAATTGTTTGGCTGTGACAAAAATACCATGAAAATACAGTAGTAAGGCTGGTGATGTAAGCAGATCTTGATTAGTGTTGCTCATTTATTTTGGTAGAGAACTGAATAATCATGAATTAAATGAATTCTTTAGTAATGCTTAGTGCCTGTGTTTCTTCTTATATTATAATTTAGTACTTCTGAATAATATGGTAAGGATTGTCATCATGTTGCAAATGCCCTTTTCGTTTAAATGTAATACCTCTTGTTAATAAAAGTAACATTTAAGTAATGGAAAAGACCTGAAAAATAACAGAACTTTTAATTTGCTATCATATCTTCATTCTTGTTAAATTTCCATAATCTTATTGCTGCTTTAGGAGGTGATAAAATATACATTTGGGAAAAAATACAGAAGACATTCTACTTAATAAGTAGAACAAGATGAATTCCTGATAATATGCTTCTGACTATTCTCTGGTGTTACACAGTTTTAAATAATTCCTAAATTACTAAAAACTTTCTAAATTTTCATTTCATTTGGCTTAACCAGTTACATGTTAAATGGTACATGAAAACGTTTGCTGGTTATGAAATTACAAGAAAAATCAGAATTACCCTTTTGTATCTAATGCTAGCATAAGTGTAAGCTGCTGTTGAATCGAAACTGTTTTGCTTTTAAGTATCCTAATTTGATCATTACATAATCTAGCTATGAGATCTATGATTGCGTGTCTATACAATAAGCTTATAAATTTTGTTCCAGACCTTTGAGAAGATCTGTTACATGTCTTGAAATCACAGAATCATCAAGCCACATCATGTTTTTAGGCTTTTATTTGAAAGGGTTTTATTCATGTGTGTATGTAAGATTTATTATAATTTTGTATAGTAGTCTTTGTTGATTCCTCTCTACTTCTCCGTACAGAACTTGTGTGTCTTAGTTAAACAATTATTAATTGAGCACTTCCATTTTTAGAGTAAATTTTTCCTCTATTGTATGTGATTCCCTCCTATTATGTTGTGCTTATCACTGTTCCTGTGTTACTTCAGAAGTAATGACCTTAATTAGTATTGCCAAATGGAAGAGGCTCTGTTTATATGAGGCGTAGGGAAGGGCATTGCTGCTTGAGGTTAATGAACTAAACCATTAGTAAATCGGTGCAACATATATGCGATTAGGCAGATCTTTTTAAACAAACAAACAACTTGCTGAAGGTTGTTAGCAACAAATGTCCCCACCACTGCCTTCTTTGCTTTAGAAAATGTCTCCAGCTGCAGGTATTGACAAGACAAAATGATCCGTAGCTTTGTAACAAGCAGTATTTAGTTCTGAAAACAGTGTTAACTGTTTTGAAATGGATTGAAGGTGTTGCCTGAGGCATTCTCAGTAAGAGTGTTGTTTTAGTTTATCTGAATATACTGCGATCTCTCATACAAATTTAAAAGCAATTTTTTTTTGCACTGAAGTTACTAGTATAAAAGTGGCAATCTGCCAGTGTCCTGTGAGTGAATGGTAGGTTTGGTGTTTAAGTAACATGCAACAGGTGAGTCTAAACACTCTCCTGGTTTTCCATCGTTCGTTCTTGTTTCATGGCCCAAACCAAAACTAAAAAGTAGTTTCAATTTTGAGAGATATCTTTTCTATTGAGCAAAGTAATTTTATTAGTCTTACATGAAATGAATAAATAGAAATTTATTTAAAGAAAAAAACTTTTTTTGAAGTAGAGATTGCTGCCTTAGCCCCGGAAAAACCTTTTCAAAAACTATTCCAAATTGTTTGGAGACTGAGAGATTATACTGCTAGTCCCCAGTTCTTGGAAGCAGCTCTTGTTTCATTTGTAGGAGCAACATTTTGTTTCGTTTAGGTGGCACAGTCCTCCCTGTGCAGCTTCCGCTGTGTCGGTTGCATTCACTTCCCAGTCGCCCCTTCTCTGCTTCCCAGTTCCTCCATGGGAGCCTGCGTGCATCCTTGTCCCTGCGTACAATTTAGAACGGGAGAGCAGAGGGAGCTGGCAGAGTTTGTTACTGTAGCTGAAGAAATGCATCATTCAGAGGGAGCATTCTGTTCTGTATGGAACAAATAGAAGTATTTTCAGAAACTTTCTTAGGCTGAAGTGCCAACAGTGTCTCAGGCTTTACAGGACAAGTAAAGACAGCTGCTTTCCTGAGGCAGTCTCTTTCTAAGGCAAACATAGAAACAATGGGGAAAAAATACCCCAGTGGGAGGCTTTGTCTTGGTCAGTGTCTGCTCATCCTTGTAGAAGTGTAATGAACTAGAGTGAGAGTAAGGTTGGACCAAAGAAAGAAGCTCCTTGGAAATTGTAGCCTAAAGCTTGTATTGGATGTGTGTGGCTGTTTGGGGCTGTGGCCACATTCAGCTGTGCCTATTTATCCAAGATGGTTTTTCAGCTGGAAAAAGGTGAGAGGAGAGATGGTTGTAAACATGCCAGGCTTGATCATCATGAAAACAAGGAGAACATGGCCATTTTGGTTCTTCATCTTGTCTGTACCTGCTAAAAAGAATGTTTTCATCATAGAAGAAGATTTTGTCTGAACTTGTGAGGCAGAAGCTCAAAGAATATATTATGTGTAGCCATGTGCACTGTGTCAAAGACTTTTGAAATTTGACAATGAAAATGTTAAATGACTGTAAGCCCTATTTTTGCTAATTTAAAAATGTTTAAATTAGTAGTAATAATAATAATTAAGCAAGCCTTTCAGGGTAGGTACGCTGTCTAGTTTCTTCCAGTGACAATATATATATAAAATTATATTTATATATGTGAAGTACCTATCACCATATGGATAAACATTCTTTGGAATCACTCTGATGGCACACCATAGCCCTTCACATCATGGTAAAATTACACGGCATGCACAGAATACGTCCAGTGCTTTTTTTTGTGGATTTCGGGAATGCATTGCATTGGTATGGTTGTATCCTTTGGGTGTAGATAGTTAAAATATGGCACTTATCACACAGTAGTTTTGAGCCAAAAAGATGACAGTCAGGACCAGACTATTAGCAGATTAATTCATACAATGTACTCCCAGCTGCCCTTCTTCCCTAACGTTCCTCAGGTCAAGCTCAATCCTGACTGTCTGTTGTTTAGGGAATGGCAGCAGCCTGTTTTTTTTCCCTCCCCTGTGCTCCTGAGTGTTTCTGCCTCCACATCTGATGAGACCCGTGTGTCTCTGGTCATGGAGGAACAACCCCTTCTGTGGGAAATGATGGCATCTCGCAGGTGACTTCTGTTTTCAGCAGGTGCCTTCAGCGTGTCACTTCCCCGCAGAAGGCGGTGGGAAGCGACGGGCCGGTGGGAAACCATCTCTAGGGTTGATGTGTTCAGCCTGTGCAGTGAGGTGGTGGCCTATTGCCAGAAAAAACTGACGGCATGCACGCTGTCATTGTTTTGCCCTCGTTTGTCATGTGCTGTTTTAGTATGAGTATAAAGTACAGGATATTTATAGATAAAAAGTAATTACTTCAAAAAAAAAAAGTAAATGTTTCTAAATTTGAGGAAATAAAGTTTTGTTTTTCATAAGTAAACAAGCAAAATCCAAAGTGGCTGTGTACAGTTCAGCATTTTCTGTGTCTTCCTCCAAAATGTGGTGGTCAACAACAAGAGTTTCAAGTTGCTGTGAATCATGCTGTGCCTCTAATAGAGTTAGATTTGTAAGGAAATAGAAAAATGGAAAACAGTCTTTTATTGGGATATACCAT